ATATCTAAAGAGGACAGCAATCTCTGTTCCGTCAGACCCCGCGGTTCGTGCTTTAAATGGTACTTGCTGCCAGCTTGCTTTCCCTGTCTCTCTCCCTTTGAAGCAGACTGGACAGCTTCCTCAAGCTGGCGTTATCACTCCCTCTAACCACTCTTGGCAGGCAATCTAATTCCCCCTGAAAAGGTCACCGCCATTTTAACTGCCTTTCAATCACATTAAGCACGCTGCCGCTCGTGCTCAGAGCGCTGCGCCCGCAGCTCTCCTGACTGAGGTGCGATCGATAAACTGACATCCCGCCCCCCACCCCCGGCTCCCCAACCGCCCCCTCGCCTCCTTCCCCTCTCCTGGACAAGCTGCCTTCCCGGAACGGCTGGCCGGCCGGCTGGGGACCAAGGGACAAAATCCTCTCCTCAAATCCGAGGCAGCAGAAGGGAGCTGCTAACCTGGCATTTACTAATCTTTGTCCCATCTGTTAGGAAGCAGAAGGGTGCAAGCATCTCCCCACCCCCCCCCACCCCACCTCTCCTAGACCTACAGAGGCAGCGACTTCACAGGACAGTTTGCTCAGGCACCAGTCCAGCCACCTTTGAAGCTGTGTTACAAAGAACAAGCCTCCCTCAAGCTTCCCTCAATGCAATCATTACCGTTATCTCTCCCCCCGCGCTGCCTTTTTTTTTTTTTTTTTGCAGTTACGAGTTATGTGTTCCACCCATCGATCCCTGTGTAAGACACTGTTTTAAGTCCTCTTGCCTTTTGACTGTGCTAAGCCGTTTAAGAGATGACAGCAGCTTCTATCAGTGTGAAGCTGATGTGATTCTTTTCAGATAAAGCACTTTTTTTCCACTTCCCCCCCGCCTTTCCCTTCTTTCAAGTAAGAGACATACACACAAAAAGAGACACTGAATCTTTCAAAGAAAAAAAAAAAACCTTTTGAACTTCCCTCAGGAATTCTTTAAAGGGATAACCTTACAGTGTAAACACTGAGGGTAACGTGCATCCATTCTGCAGAGGAACAGAAGAAATGCTACAAATATGTTGAGTGTTAAAAAAAAAAAAAATCCATCAGAGAGGAAGCCACTTGATGCTTTCACTTGCGAAGCCTTGTTGGCATCCTAAACACAGAAACTCATTAAAGATGGCATGAAATAATCCCCTGCAACAACGAGTTTCAGAGAGGGACGATTCAGAGACGTGGGGAGAGATAGTTACTGAATGTTCAGGTATTTTAAGAGAAATTTTAGTCTTGTGACACTGTACTGAGACAGGGAAATATTTGATTACTGCATCTGTTCAGTTTTTCACTTTGAAGCACGAGCTTAATTTAAAGAGCTTGGTATTTCATGCTGGTATTCTTCTGAACCCACCCCAAACAGAACCAAGAACTCTCCTACAAACCCCTACTTCAAGCAGGACCTCTGTGGAAATGAAGTGGTTTCCAAACCCTATAAAGCTGCCAATAATCTTAATTTACACCCTGCATCCTTCCAGTTTTGGTAAGCAAATTAAGTGGTAGCAGACGATGCTTTAGGAAGCCAGGAGGGATGCTAGAAGCACCAAATATTTCCTGACAGAAAAGTCTTCACCAAACTCAACAATTTCAGAGACAACAAAATGATCCCTGCACTTCTGAGTTATGTCATATTCCTCCTTGCTGCCACTGCCTGTTCTTTCCACCTGCTGCCCCAGGTATGCTGAGCTGTGGCAGCCAAGGAGGTGTGCTTTGGCTCTGCTGCACTAGACCTCACTGTGGGTTTGCAGCTGTAACACCAACACAGAAGCTGGAAACTCTTTGTCTTCTAAGACAGCCCCTCAAGTTAGAGGAACAAGTTTTCCCTGCAAGTGCTTTGGAAGCAAGAAAGTGTCACCCTAGGAACCATACAAGTGAGAGTTTCAGCCTGTGATTGCTCCTGAGTATGAGACCATCTTCCAGAAAATCTGAACAGGGGTGTTCATTTCCCTGACCTTTCTGTTTTTAAGAAGAAAAACCCCAAGATCTCCCAACCTCACTCCACCTGGGAATCTGTCATGCCCTTTCATAAAATTGGCAGAGAGTATTCCTCATGTTGAGAGTGACTTTGTGCATTAACCAAAAATGATAAAAAGAAGAAGCCGGGACCTGTGTTAAGTCCTGCTCCCCCTTCACCCAGCTGTGACATCTCCTCAGAGCAACACACCATTAAAACCGAAATTAATGAGACACATGGCCATCTATTTTCCCCTCTGGTTTTATGTATTTCCCCATGTCATCTCTTTAGACACTGGTGACATCCCTGTAGCCTGGCAAGGGCTGTCTGGCATTATAAAAGACCTTTGATTTCCACATCGCTGCAACTTCTCAGCAAAGGGAACAGAGCCAAATGCAAAGCCTCGGGTGACAGGGGTTAACGAGGGCCTTGCCAACTCCAGACAAAGCAGTTTTAAGCATTAGAAAGCATCCACAAAACGTTGTGCTGTGCTTCAGGGCTGTAAATTAAGAATTCTGTCCCTAAAATAAGGCAAGAGCCAACACTGGCAGAGAAAGAAGAAAGGTAGTCACCACCTTAATATTACCTGAGAGCGCAAACAGCGGGCCTGAGTGACGGAGACCTCTGAATGACAGCAGTCAGAGACAATTTGAGAGCCACAAAAGAGAGCATGAAAAAGTGTAATTTGATTAAAAATAAATGCAACTAGCCAGCTATGAGATATCACTCCAGCTTAGCTTTGGCTTTCCAAATTTTACAGCCACTTCTCGTGCAGAGTAGGTAGGTATCCTCCATATATTGCCTGGTTATCCCAAAACACTAGGTAGAAAGTTGGTGGCAGAAAGGTTCCCTGTTTAGGGAAGAGGACACTTCTCTAGAGAAGCGTGGCAGCTGTTGAATCCAGCTGCAGGCAGAGCTGTGCTCCAGAGGAGGAAGGCCAGGTGCTACAGACCTGCCAGCAGCTCAGGTGGAGTCACTTCTTCAGTAGTGGCTCCGCCACAAAAAACTGCACAAAAAGCCTGCTACAAATGCTACAGGGATGTCCCTGCGAGCTGATCTACAGACACCTTTCATCCAGCACCACAAAGGGAAGCAGTCAAACCCAAAAGCCTTCCCACCAGGGTAATTATGGAGGGTTTCAGAACTGCATGTAGCTGTGCTGTGCTTTTCTCTTGGTCTTCCAGTCTTTTCCTGGGTCTATTCATGTAACTCCAGAAGGTGTCATGAAGGTCTCAAAAAGGAAAGAAGAGACAGTCCCCAATACTTCCTGGTGGAAGCAAGGCCATCTCTAAGTATGAATCACAGAACTATCTGTTGTCCATGTGTGTGTAGCCATCTGGCAGAGGTTACAGCACTGGCTGACACTGGAACCTGTCTAAATTCTGGTGGAGGACACCAGGTGATCCACATAATGCAAATTCACAGCTTTGAAAATTCTTTAAAATAATGAAGACAACACAACAAAGGGAAAGTACTTTACATTTACACAGCCTAACCACATCAGTTACACATATTTTGTCCATCTGAAGCCTCATTTGAAAGAGGGCCTCCATATGACTGAAGCAATATGGAAGGTTCAGGTCACATTTCAGTCAGTTAACTCAAAAACGAGTTGGAACATTAAGGTGAAGGCAGCACGATGTCCACACCAAAGGAAGTGGAAAATTGTGCTCTCCTCAAATGGAGGTGTGTGTTGGGGGTGAAGGAACAACCTACTCATGCACAGAAAGGGGAAGAAATGAACTAAGTAGCCTTTTCTAATCAGGACTAGCAGTGACAACAATAAAGGCACAGAGACATCCCAAACTTTCCCACGATGGATTGCAGTGTCTATACTACACAAACAGAGTTCAACACCTTGCATGGTCTCATCAGGTATCTGCAACTCTCCATGGAGTCACAAAAAAGTTAGGTTACAGACACAGGATGCAACAGTGTGAGCTTCCCTGGGTGTCCTTAAAAACCCAAAGAAGCTGTTCCTTCAAGTCTGTGCTCCTCATCATCTGCTCTGCTACAACCCAGATACAATTTAATTTTGGAGGAAGGCAAGAACAGATCAGGAGTGTCTGGTTGTATCTCAGCACACGGCTGGCTTTTAAGTCCAACTCCCTTATGCAGCAGCTTTTCCCCTTGAGATATTTTAAATTAAAATCCAAGCTGATATAGGAAGAGATCACATCCCATCCTCTTTATTGAACGAAGGGAGCCAGCATTCCCCCTCTCATTAGGCATGCACTACGTGGATTGCTTGTGAGAGACTCTTTTGAGTGCCTGAGGTTCATGCCAACGAACAGTTTAGTAAATCCTCCTCTTTGAGGCCAAAGGGCTTAGTGTAAGAAAGGGGCCAGGTTTCTAGATAAAATTACATTCACCAATAAAGCTCATGAGAGGTCAAATTTTGCCATAACTCACTCTCCCTTCGGTAACTGATTTCCCCGTCACTGGGGAAGGAGCAAAAGAAGAAGGAAAAATAAAATGTGTTTGTCTGAGAGCCCTAAAGGCTTGTAGCGCTGGAGGTGCAGAGCAGGTTCCTGGATTCTCATTTATCAACCTTAAAAGGGATGGAGTGATAAATGCACAACTGGCCCTTTAATATTTTATGCAGGTGCTACAGCGACTTAGCTGTCACCTCCAATACATCACCAGAGGCTGATACACCAGCTTTCGTCACTCCAGGCTGGGAATTTTTACAATTTCATTTCTGTTTCCCTCTGTTCACATATTCCCACGTATTTCTTACTATGTGTAAGATATAAAAAGCTATTTTCCCCAAATGATCTACCTGTTCCTGCTCGCTCCCTCCTCAGACACGTTTCTTGAGGAAGAAACAAACGCCACGCTTTTTGTTCAAGATCTGCACGAATTCTGACTCTCACCATTCAAGAGAGACACAGAAAACACTTCACATTCCGGCAAAGGCTGATGGTTCCGCCCTTCGTGAAAGGCAAATCCCCACATCCCCCTCCCTTTAAAGACAGGTAATGACCAACTTCCACAGCAGAAAGATTTACAAGCGCCCCCGGAACGCCGGCACACCTCGGAATCCTCCCTCCAGGAGGGTAGTGGCCCGTATCCTCTTCTGCCCGCACCACTCGTACTCTTCAAAGCGGTTCCCGTTCTCGTTCTCGATGTCCACAGAGTCGTCCTCAGTCATGCAGGAACCTTCTCTCTGCACGGGGGTAAAGCAGGGGCAGAGTGTTGAGATGTAGGAAATAGCTCTTTGGGGTTAATAACTCACGGTGGGATGGAAAAGGAAAGCTGGACTGTTCCCAGGACAGCTAAGTATGGAGCGTCTACACAGCAGCGTCTACTCCCACCCCCATTCCCAGTGACCTAAATCTAGAAGTAGGGGCTGGGAGAAGTTGACAAGCTGAAGATCAAAACAAGTTGCAAGGTTCGTAATTGTTACACATGGAAATTTAAGCTCTGGTTCCTATAACAATGCCGGTGCTCACTTCAACATGTACTCCCCTGCCTTGCATGTACAATTCCTCTATCGTGTAAACATAGATTTCTTTGACCCCCAGCAGGAATGTTCTCCTCTCCATGCATATTTTCGGGACATACTCATCAAAGACACCTCTCTTTACACTATGCACCTCTCAGGGCAGCAAGAATGAATTTGTTATCATCTCTGCTGAGGGATTTTCTTGAGAAACACAAACAGAAAGCCCTATGATACAACTGCCTCCCTCCCCTAGGGCTTGTTTGTCCTTCTTCCTTGCTATTTGATTTAAATGCACTTCTTGGAGTAAGCTGGTCATGCAACATTTACAAATTCCAGTCTGTTAGAACCCAACAAAAACTAATTCTAATGTTCAAACCAGAAAGATCTGAAAGAATGGCACAGATCAGAAAGAACTCTTCTTGCTGTGCTACATAGGAAGCTTGAAGTCCTACAAAAGGCTTCATAAACTTCAGCAGCTCCACCTTTACAATCTACAACTTAAACTTCCGTAATAGCAGGAGGGTGCATAAAGCAGAAAAAGTTACTAAAGCAGAAAAATCCAGAAGAATCCATCTCCCAAGATAAACAGAAGTGACTACAGATCTTAGAGAGAAAGTCAGCATTGCCTGAAAGCTCAGCAATGTTAGTTTTTGCCCCACATTAGCTCAACTGCAGACAAAGCTGGGAGAAGGGAGAAGGGAATGGCAGCTGGTGATCCTGCTGCGCCTCTACCTTTGCAAGGCATTGTTCCACATGCCTACTCATCTCCTCCTCGGATCCTGACAGAGGGCGGCTGCAGAGGGGACATACCTGCCCTTCGTCTTGCTTCCTCCGTTTCATTTTTCCAATCCGAGCTGCGTGGAGAGACCAGGGAAAGAAAACAAACAAACAAAAAAAGGAACACATGTCAAGTTCGTAGATCCACTCTTTACTTGCTCAGCTCCAAATCATAAACCCTTGGCAGAAACGGTAAGATTTCACACCAGAAAATCCTGTTGCAACTCCCTATTCTGACCTCTGTAAACAGTGCAGAGACTGTTACTTGGCATTTTTCAGATTAAATCTGTAATCTGTGGCTGAGTACTCCCTGAGTTCATAGAGGCAGCTAGGAGAGGCAATATCTGCTGCACACCCCCAGCTACTTTATTAAAATGGTTAAATACTTTCTCTTGGAAAGCTGAAATTGTTTTCAAAGTTGAGTGATCAAGCCAGTGAATTCTGGTTTGGATTTTGCCTTCCAAGTCCGAGGCCCTTACACTAATACATCTATTCCCTACAGCTTAAAACGCTTAAGGATAATGTAGCACCTGAAAGCCTTGGACAAGGTATGTAACAGTCATCTCAAGGACCACAGAGCCTCCTGTACACTCCGAAAAATTCCTTCCCGGGACACTACAAACAAGTCCGAGCACCATCTTAGTAGCAGGTAACATTTAAGGAAAGGAGAGATCTTGGCTGTGAAAATCAGCACCCCTGCTAGATAGCTTCTGGCTCTCTGTTATTTTATTTCATGAAAACTGGGGGCTACACTGGGCAAGCTCTGGGAAACAAACATGTTAGGAATCACGATGATTAGAAAAAGCAGCCAAGGTAGCCTGTTGCTTAATCCAATATCTGGTTAATTTGAGCCATCGTTTAATGTGATCAAAACATCTGGAACCAAATCATTTGCATTAAAAAGAACTTCTGCCTTTTATTATGATGGCTTTAGGCAGGTATTACTGAATAACTCAATCACTGGCTGCAGGAAAGTCACTGTTTAATTAATAAGGAAGGTCAAAATTCTGAATGAGAGACAAGGAAAAGCCCAAGGAAAGCCCATGTGATAATGAGAGATGACACCACCAAAAAGCTGCATTAGCCAGAAATCGTTACTGACATTGTGAGCGCTGCAGCACGCTCTGAAAGCCTTCATGCCTGAACACTGTGGGATCGACAGCTCCCTGCAGCCAACAAGTCAGAGAAAGCTGCTGGAACGGCAGGATGAGAAGGACCAGTGTACAGGAGAGTTTCTGTCAACTGTTTTCTAAAGCATACACAGCACCAAGTGATTTATAAAGTTTCAGCTGAACACATCAACACAGACCTGAAAGGCCTCTCGCAAGGCTTTCTCATTGGCTTCCCTGGACACAGGACCCTCTGGGTTAGGATATACTTTCCCACAATCCAGAACTAGGAGTATTCATCATGCCCTATGTTCTCTGATGCTCTAGCACTAAAATAGCTTAAATTATTCCCTGGGCATTGCTTTTTCTCGCTGAGATAGAGATGTGGGAAAACTCCCTGAAAAATTCATCTCCCTTCCTCACACGATGAAAAGGATTCTGCAAATGGGACATTCCCAGAATAAGGGACAGCAACTTGAGACCAAAACAAGAATGTTTTTGGTATCTGGCACTTTGAACTACAGAGACTCTCAAGTTAACACAAACATCTTTCATTGTTTGTCTAAATTCTATTTGCTGATGCTCTGCAACCCTCCCTTGTGTTGGGTGCACCACACTGATAGTTCCACAACCCTCTACTGCAGTCAGAGTTAAGCCATGCTCTTTCTGGTTTGTACTTGAGTACACAAGAGACTTCTGAAGTTCTGGTTTAGTGCATACCTGTATCCTCCAGCATGGCTCTTTCGTTTAAGTTAAGGATACCCTTTCCTTGCCTCACTAGCTCTGCAGAACCAGTACAAAATTGGGAAGAAGGTTGGAATCAGACACGACTTGAGCATTCTCCAGCAAACTGATCAGAGAGAAACACAGGAACAAAGCCTTCTCTATCCTGACTGCAGACAAATTTCTCTCACCTCATCATGTTTTCAACCAGGGAAATGCAGGGCAGAAACAGTTTAATTATTCTGGTAGGACTCCCTGTGGTCAAACAATTCAGCTAAGTCAGTCTGCCTGGTGAATTTATTAGTATTTTTAACTTTTTTTTATTGCCATCTTCCAGTTCATGCACTGTAGCAGTGACAAAAGGGAGAATACTTGTTTTAGGTCTTCTACTGCTAAATTCCTGGGACCATTCTGCCAGAACAAGCACCTGATCTGGTGCTGAAATGTTAGTGTAGAGCTGGGAACACAACCTCACTGTGCTCCAGCTCCACACAAGAGCCAGCAGCCGGCCCCTCTCTCGGCTCCTTTAGCTCCGCAGAGAAGCGCCCCTTCAAGCTGCAGTGCCACAACTGAAAAAAGCCACTGGAAGAAAGAGGTGTTGAAAACAAATCCCCCTGCCATTTTCGTTCCCTGGTCATTAAGCAGCGGCAGCGCTGTGCCCAGGGAGGCCAAGGGTGCCCCTGGTGACTGCGGGAAGCCTGGGAAGCCACACGGGAGCAGCGCTGTCCCTGCCCGGCACAGCGCGCAGCCCGCCCATCACTTCCAATCAGCGCAGCAGGGACGGAGCGGCCCCAAAGGCAGGGGGTGATTGTGGCGCTGTCCCGAAGGGGAGCAGCTCAAAAGAACGCGCGAGTGAGACCACAGGATTGTTAATTAGTGTTGATAGATGCGATCATTTCTAATTAGCTCACTAATCCCTCTCCCCCCCCCACCCCGTGCTCCTGTCGCAGGAGAATGGGAGAGGGAGGAAAAAAAAGAAAAAGAAAAAGCCATTCCCTGTCGTAATTCAGGAAGATAAAAATACAGACAGTAGAGGACTGGATGCACGAAGAGGACAGAACTCAGGGAAGGAGGCTTTTGCACAAGGCTGACCCATTCTTACCTCTGACTGAACAAAGACTCCATAGTTATTATTCCAACCTTCTGCCAGGAGGTGAGGAGTTCACTAATTTTTATTAGCATTAATAATTATTATTAGGCCATCAGAGGGCTTCCAGCACCTTTGAGGCCTCACTTTTAACAGATGTACATTACCCTACACACTGCTCCTGCTGCAAGTGCATGTTCTCCTTCAGATCACACAAAACCATCAGGCCAGAGAGTTTTAAGCCACTACGGCAGATGAATGAGAAAGTAGCTCATGGAGGTGAGCGAGAATTGGGACCCTCTGCAAGAGCCAGGATCTCAGCTATGGTCTCTGACTTATCTTAGGAGCCGTGTTGGCAAAGGGAATTGCTCCTCCTTTCCCTAATACGGAACTATGCAAGGTGAGAGGCTGCTTGCACTAGAGAAGGAGCCAAACTGCACTTGAGAAAGCCTCGACTGCTGAGGGAACACTGACCAGATCCTGCCTTCCCACAGGTGTGGAGAGAAGGAGCCAGCCCACCACTGCTGCCTTATGGGCAGAAGAGTCCAGGGATCTTTTCTCACAATGGGCTCTCCCCAGCAAGGCTAAACCTTATGAATGCCTGAAGATCATATTACTCTCAAGCCCAGCACAACTGGCTGTGAGAAAAGCTAATGGATTTCAGTTTTCACTGGTACTCCCTCCCCAAGAAAAAAATTCACCTTCAGGACAGGTCACTAATTACCTCAGAAGTGCTCTTACACGGTGTCTAGCAGTGGACACTACACCAACCTCTACTGCAGCATCAAAGGAGATGATTAAGTTACCAGGAATCTCTCTTATGATTCCCTCCACCAGTTTGAGTGGTCCCCAGAGTCCTATGCAGACGTCATTAGCAGCTCCTGCAGTGGCAGGCCAATCAAATTAAGTGGAAACATTTTTGTCTCCTTTCCAGTGAAAATCATCCAGCATTATTCCTCCCCCACCCATCAGCTACAAAGGCACACGACATGCTGGTGGTGGTGGTTCAACAACAAACTGTGTGGTGACCTCCTCCATGGAGGTCCGTTCAGAGAGACAGGCTTAGGGTCACCACCAAAACGGGAATCAGCTTCTCAAGGAAAGGAGCAAAAGGAGCTTTGCAAGGACCCGTTTCACAACTCACCTGAGAATGCCAGTTTTGCAAACAGCCCCAAATTTGAAGCAAAGATATTCAAGCACAAGAGCTAGCACCTGCTCTCTGCAAATCTACCAGAGAAGTCTTAAGGAGTGGTTATACCTATTTTTTGTTAGGCCTGTCACCAAAAGCTTCTGTGGATGATCAACTTATCCAGAGCACTTGATCTAAGGGAACAAAGGCAGCAATGGCAGAGCACAAAAAGCCACCTCAAGAATAAGAAAAAGCAAGAAAACAGATGGTCAAGAAGGAATCTGTTTCAGACCTTACGTACAATTTGCTGCTCATCTGCCCGAGAGAGAACATTAAGGGCCAGATTCACAGAAGGGTCTCAGTGGGGCTTTCAGATTTGCATGGCCAACAGAGATGACTGTCAGCAACCTTCAATCTGACACTATTCTCTGAGGCTGGCACATACTTAACCTGCTGAGTCCATGTTCTGATACACTAACCCATAACTTTGTGCCTCTAATACGGAATGACTACTTAACCTGCTCTGCACTGCTAAACTCCATAAGCATCAATTTACAGGGTGGCTTAAAGTTTCCAGTTTGGCAACACTGGAAATAAGGCAAATGAAATAAATGCCTTCTTTATCACATGGGTTCATTGGGAATCAGTACCTCATACTCCTGGGTTCACAAGGACACAACCTCTGGGTGGTGAGTTTAGCACAGGTGAGAGGTGCAGGATTAACTCACTGAGGTTGACAGGGAAGTTGGGATACAAACACTCAACCAACAGCCTAAAAGACAGAACATTAATCTCCTGCTCCAGGAGCCTGAAAATGCATTTGCCTTGCTTACAGCTCAATTTAAGTCACAGGTTTGACTTACAGAATTAAAATTCTGGCCACTCAGGTACGTGTGAACCATTTAACTGTCAGAACCTAATCATGCTGCAGCCAGGCCAACAGCAGCTCACAGAAGACATTTCCCTCTCCACCTTCTCTTGCCCTAGCTCCTTTTGCACACTCCCAAATGACCACAGCAGCATAGAACACATAAAGGTCCGAAGAAGACTCAGGAAAAACAGCCCAGGCAGCCAAGATTTGGTTCAAGGACTATGTGGCAGAAGAGCAAATACTGCCCCTTTTTATGGGAGGAGTTTCCAAAGTGCTGCTGGAACTCAGCTGATAAAACCTTGACAGCAGATACCAACATAAACTGGTTACAACAATATTGAGAAGTTCATGTAAAACATTAACCCCAATGAAATAGTTCTTTGACAGACAGGCTGCATTTGCTAAGTCTCTACAGTTTACCAGTAAGAATGTGAAACAAAAACCCAGCTACCCTTGGACAAGTCCTACACAACTTCTGTTCATGTGAGCTAATTGGGACAAGGAAACCACTCTCACAGAGTAAGCTATAAGGTTGAGTGATTGATTAGAAGCTCATTAAAACACAAGATGTAGACAAATAAGCCTTCCCCCCTCCCCAAAGCATTCCCGTGTTCTCCATCTTGAGATGTTCAACAACTAACAACAACGTGGCAAAACTTACAAATACCACAAAGATATTTTAGTGCAAACAAACAAGAAGGATGAGTTCAGAGGTACAAATACAAAGCAGTATAATCTACCCAACCATCCAGCTGAATACTGACCTAACACAGGACTGGACCAGGCATCATCCCTACAGGTATGTTCTGGGAACAGCAGTGATCAGTCACAAAAAGCTCAGTCCAGGAAGAACCAGTTCTGGTCTAGTTTTATCTCCTCCAGGACCCAAAGCACTTCAGCCAAATTTCTGCATCTGGCCTCCTAACATCTGCACCTCGTACTGTCAGGGTGTACAAGGCATTATGTAAGTTAACCCAGTGTCCTCATTTGGAATATGGCTCTAAGTTTCACTCCACCCCAAAAGGTACACACACACAGAGTAAAAAAGGTCCAGCAAAACGCTGTACAAAACTACTGGCCTCCCTAAAGATGAACCCAGCCTCACAGAAACATCCAAGAACAGGGGCCAAGAGGAGTTCCTCGATCAGATCACAGGCTGCCCAGACTGAGCTGCAGCCCTGCTTCGGGTTAGAGCCCCAAGCACAAAGCATTGTGAGCCAGTTCAGCAGGGCACGCTGCCATCGAGAGCTTCCGTCCGCACTGAAGGACTCCACAGCACCAAGAATCTCACAAGTCTGGCTTTTAAAAAATATTTAAAATAAGGCAACTGCACAATTGTTGGCCTGAAGAAAGGTGGAAGGCGAGAGCTTAGCCCCAGCTATCCGAAAATGATAAAGGAACAGCTTGACATCCCTGACTCCAGAGACCTCTGTCACACAAAACAAGCCGCCGCAGGGCAGCACCTCTGAAGTCTCTGTGTAAGGAAAGCGTCCACCTGCCAGTGCTGGCAGCTCCCTGCACTCATCTCAGAGTGCAGATATGAGCACACCTGCCAGCAGTCACCTGGCACTGATGCAAGGCAACTCACCTCTTTGTTGTGTGACTTAACAGGCTTGCAAGAGTTCACAGGTTTTTGGCCCTCTGGGTTGATATTTAAAACTCCCCCAAGCCAGCTCTGAATTCAGTTACGTGTGACTTATCACAGATCTGGGACAGGAGACTCTGTTTGCTTAAGACTACACTAAACATGGAGGACTTCAAATTCAAGCAAACTGGTTTGCTATTGGCACACTCTAAAGCCTTTTGCTATTCTGTTAAAGTATATCTTCTTCTAAATAAGCTCCATTAGCACAACATCATTTGTGTTATCTTTAGTTAACAGATCAGGAAGCTCGAGGCTAGCTAATGAGCCTCCTGATAGCCTGAAAAACCAAATTCTGACTAAATGTTACAAAGTGAAGTAGCTACAAGCAATACAAAACCAGATGAGAGATTGTTGTTACTCTTTAAGCAGCAAGTTCTGACTCCACTGAACTTTGAGAAAAGTTTCAACTCCCTCAGCTCTAAAAAAAAAAGTTTTCTTTCAGCTTTCTTTTTCCAATATAGAAGCACAGAGACAGGATACCTCTCTCTTAAGTGAAGTGAGGTCTGATTTGCTTTTTTAAAGTACCAAGATGCTATCCACGAGAAATACTTGTTTACTTGTTGTTAGGAGCACACACAGATACAAGCTAGCGTCAGTATCCGTGGGTTTGAGAGAAAAAAAAACAACCACCCAAAGAAAACAAACCATGACGTCAGACGACGCTCAGGCTGCTGGTTTAAAAGTTTACTTCAAGATCCAGCCATGTGAGCTGTGAGAGCTCAGCAGCCGGGCCCCGGGAAGGAAAACACGGGATCCAGGGCCTGGTTCATCCCAGGCGGTGGGAGCCGCTTTCCTGGGGAGCCCAGGTGGGAGCGGGGCTTCCCCTGCGTGTGCACGGGGAGGCCGGAGGTGGCTCCCGGCCCGCGATGGGACTTGGGGAGGGGAGGTCACAGAACTCGGCCCAACTCCGTGAAGTTCCCCGGGCGGGGAAGGGGCGGGGGCCGCACTCACCGTTCAGCCGAGTCTGCCGGTTCGCTCGCACCCGCAGGAAGGTCTGCAGAGGGGACACAAGAGCGGAGAAGCGTCAGGGCCCGCGTGTACACAACTCGGCCCCCCCCGTCCGTACACAAGACCCGGCCCGGCCCACCCCTGCCCCGCGCATCCCCGGGACAACGCACCGGCCGCGGGCCTCCGCTCCCCCTCAGCACCCACCTCTTCCCGGCCGCCGCCGCCGGGCCCCCTCCTGCCGCTCTGCATAGCCGCGGGCGGGCGGCGGGCCCGGGATGCGAGTGGATGCGGCGGGCCCGGGATGCGGGGAGATGCGGGTGGATGCGGCGCGGCCCGGCGGGCGCCGCCGCTCAGCCCCCGGCGGCCGCCGCCATGTTGGCCCCGGTCATGTGACCGGCCGCGCGCGGGTGAGAGTTCACCCGGCAGTTCCCATGGCAACCGACAGGGGGCGGCAGCGCCCGGCGGGCCCGGCCAATCAGAGTCCCGGGACGGCCGGGAGCCGAGAGACTGGCCAATCAGCAACCAGGGGTTACTGGAACACAGGGAGGCCTGGCCAATCAGGAATCAGGGGTGACTGGGACCCTGGGGGCCTGGCCAATCAGAAATCAGGAGCCACTGGAGACCAAAGGGTCACGACTAATCAGAGCCTGGGAGCAGGTGGTGCCCAGGGGCCGTTGGCCAATCAGAGCCTGGGAGCAACTTGGAAGCAGCTTCCCTCATCCAATAGGAATTGAGCACCCTTCAGGCCCAACATCACTGGCCAATCAAAGCCTTGGCCCCAACTGTAACCCAAAGGCATTGGCCAATCAGACGGCAGAGGCAACACTCTCCAACTTTTCCTGCCCAGTCAGGGGCCGGGGCGCCGAGGGCCCTTGGCAAATCAGGGCCCAACCCAAAGTGTAAAAAGACCCAAAGGCTCATGGCCAGTGGGTGCTCAGTGGCTCTTGTCCAGCTCTACCATGGAGCCCAGAGCTGCTCCCAGCCCTGGCTGTGGGAGCAGAGCCTTGTCCTTCCTGGATGTCCTGCAGGCTCAGCGCAGCTGGACACAGACACCAGCTGGGTCTGCCCACCTCAGTTCCGGGGTTCTGAACCCTGCCTGCCCTCCCCACTGCTGTGGGGAGCAGAGGCTCCTACACACACAGGTTCCATTTGTTCCCCCCCTCTGAAGACTCCCCAGACTTTGCTTCTTGGAATCAAACCCTATGTTTCGGGTCTCTACTCTGGCACCTCACAATCTGCTGCTCCCTCTTCAGACGGAACCCAAAACTCCCCTCGATATGTTTCTGTGTCCCGGGAGCTGATGGGCAGCCAGCCAGGTCAGGTTCTGGCTGGTGAGCTTTGCCCAGTCCTGACCCACGTCCTGCATCCCGGCTCTGCCTGCCCACGGAACTTGCAGTTGGATTTTCATACTCAATGCTCACTCACAAAGCCAAAGCTGCCGGTTGGTTTTACGCTGTTAATGAATTGAGCTGTCTTTCGGGAGTCACACTCTCTGCTGAGCTGGGGGGAGGGAGGTGAGCCTTCCTTGGACAAGGATTTTAGGCTTTCAGTTGTGCTACACTTGGTGTTCAGTCACAAATATCCTGTGGGTCCAGATGACCCAGGCAAGGGGGGTCTCCCTCCAAGCCTGAAATGTCATCTTTGCACTACAATGTATTGCTTGTAATTACTTTGCTGTTGATTTTTCCACTGGGGATTCAGGGTTTTATACAAATATTTCTAAAATGGCTTTATTCTTACTGGCAGCACAGGAAAAACCCTGTCTGACCGAACATACTGTATTTAGGAGGAGCAGCCACTATGGATCAAGTCACAAGGTCCTGCACTGCATCGGCCGCTGCCACCTCGGTCCCATCAGCATCCATGGACCAAACTCCATCAACCAGGCTTGGAACAGAGGGGACAAGAGTATCCCCCCTCCTGCCATTTGGGAGCCACCCCCCTGCCTCCACTGCAGCTCCCCCTCGGCATGGGGAGCAATGCAAGCAGCCCAAGTGCTCTGCAAGCCCATGTTCGTGTAGCAGTCCTATTCACAAATCTCCTTCTTCCCTAAATATCCCCATGGCATATCAGCACAAAGACTTAAAAAAACCCCAGAGCCACAGGAATTCTGAAAACCTAAATGCCCACAACTCACTTTCTAGCATGTCACTAATACGCTGTATAATCTTGATTAGATCACAAATAACACAGGGGACATTGGTAATTCCAGCACACCTCTACATATGGGAAGCTAAACGTTGCAGCCTTTAAAGTCACCACCGTGAGAGTCTTCTGCTCTGCTTCCTGGGCATTTCCCTTGGTGAGCCAGGCAGACTGAATTCTCACTCACACTGTGGCTTTATTAAGGAATACATCGAGGCTTTACACACCCCTGGCACCCACCCCGAGGTCCCTTTACACTGCCAGCGCAGCACAACGCAGCCAGCACAAGCATAAATGAAAATCAGGCCCCAGAGGTGTTTTCTCCCTGCAGTGCAGACTTACAACTCCCATTACACATTTGTATTAAGGGCTGCAGCCCTCCATAAAATGCGCTTACAAACTTAAAGCACATTGGAGAGTGGCTGGACTCAGCACAGAGAGGGGCTTCTGCTGAGAGTATTTGTCCTCCAGAATGACATAATAAAAATGTCTGCAAAGGGGCCACCAATTTCACAGAGACTCATGTCTGGCAGAGCAGGAAGGGAGGGGTGTTCTCCAACAAAGGGAGCCATGGCAAAAGTCTCTTCCATGCCCTTTCCAGAAGAACGTAATTTATTTATTAGCCTTAATAAACAAGGCGGGAAAGAGAGCAGGATTACCTGAATCAGGCATTTCTGTATCTTCTGCAGGGTTTTGCTTCTCTTACTTTGCACCAGGCCTTATTGTTCACGAGAGGGTAAAGTGACTGGGATGTGACACCAAGTTATGACTGAAAGCCACATGGGAATACGTAGCAAACAATGGAGGATCTGGTCCACAGTTGATAATATCACCAACAAATAGGACAGATGATGGAATAACAGGTAACAAATGTACAAATCTGCTACTAACAGGACCTATCTTCAGGAACACATGTTGTAACTGGGTCTGCTCAGCTAAGAGCCCCAAAACTGGTCATCAGCCTCTCTCTGCAGGTCCAAATAAAGACCTGGCACACGCAAAGTGGCTGATGCAGGAAGATGTGACCACCTGCCTGACCCTGGGCACTGGATATGGCTGCAGTGCACCACAGCATGCAGGGTGATGGGTGTTTGTCATGCTGGTACAGCCTCAGCCTATCCAGCCTGTCCACACAGCAGGGAGACACGCTTGGGTCTGTGCTGATGACCTCAACTAATTTATCTGTTGCCTTTCAGAGCTTACTGAAGCCAGTGGCTGAGCACAGGATTGCAGCCAAACACTTTGGCTGTGAGTCGAGCTGGAGTCAAGTGTATCAGCCTGCCCCAAAAATACAGGCAGACTTACAACCAGCCAAGGTGTACTTGTGCTCCCCTCCTGCCTTTCTCTTCTTTTCTTGCTCCATCTCCCTCAAGTTTCTATTCGTTGCATCACAAGTCAGGACCTGGTGCTCCCCTGGGCAGAGAGTGTCTTATAAAACAGCACCGCTGTGTATGATTCAGAACATTTCTGTTTGGGATGGGAGTCATGAGTCAGTTTGCTGGGCAGTGGCACACCAGTGAAATGGAGAACTTTGGCCTGACACCATTCACTCTTTTACCAAAAAAAAGTCACTTCTCTGAAGGTTTCTCAATGGCACGGGGAGGGTAATGATAAACATAGCCATGGAAATTACTGAAATGATGAATACAATGTAACAGGAACCCCTGCAAAGATTTTAAACATTTTTGTACTGCTGTGGTTTCACTCTGGAGCTGAGAGGACTCTGCAGACAGAAACACACCTTCACATCCTTGTGAGGGGACCAAGTGCTCACGTCCCCATCCTGCAGGGAGGCAAGCTGGTGCAGTGATGCACAGCCAAGGGCAGAGCTCTCACACACAGAGCTGTGGGCACTGGGGCGAGCTGGCTCCCTGCCTGAGGCTGAGACCGGCAACGACATCCACCCGCTTACCTGGTATCTGTCCGAGTGATGGATGTCATCTGAGGAGTGGGGTGATGCTGTCGGGGAATCTCCTTCCCGCTTGATTGAGGCCGACAACAAAATTGACTGCAAGAGAAAGGAGAAATTCATGCTGTGAGCACTGCCGAGCTCTCTGTCTCTAAACTGTCCTCAAAGCCACAGAGAGCGTCTGCCAAGCTGTGGCACTGCACTGGGATGGAATCCTGGGCTGTGGGGCTGGCTCTGGTCTTCCCAGGGGATTCTGCCCCATGAGGGAACCAGGCTGCTGGGTCTAGCAAAGAGCAAATGAATCAGGCAGCAGTGGGTTGGTCATTTTTCTCCCAGGTCTGGTGGCTGGGGCAGAATCAGTCCCTGTTGGAAATGATACGTGAGGACACCACCAGAGATTCACATGCTGAGGTGGAGCGGTGCTTTCTTGTCCTTGTCCACCCCTTTTAAGTGCCACTAAATCTCTCAATGGCTTTGTAAACTACACTAAAGCCCTCAGCACCTCTGCAGTGCAACTACCCTTTCCTTCAGTAATGATGCTATTTATTTTAATAAGTAGCACAGGAAAAAAAAAAAAAAAAAGAGGCCTTTTAGAAGGTTAAAAAGCTCAGTGATATTTGAGACCTAAGAAATCAGTGATAAACTTCAAGTCAATAGTAGGTAAGTCTAAATTCTACACACAGTGAACTCTAGCAGGAAAATTACTGTGGGAGTTTGACAGCATCTAAAGAAATGTACACTGAGCTGCAAGTGAACTTTATTATTAGAATAGTTTGAGGGAAAAATGCAATTTAAAATTCTAATTTAAATTATAAATTAGCTAAAGCAGGCTAAATATAGCCCAATACATTGTGAAAAAATGTACACTGGAAATGCAGCTCTCCAGATGTTTGTTTCTGAGAATCAGCTGGCAAGATTTGACAATAAATGACTGCTCGGAGATGTGTGTGTTTGTGAGGGGAAGTGTAGATATCATCTGAATTGGACAGGTCAAGTGTGGTGACAACATTATTAAAAAGCATAATACCTTGGAGAAAGGGAAGTATTCCAGAAACATTTGCCTCTGGGCTGAAATGAAACGTGAAAAAATGTGCATTTTTTGGAAAGATATGAGCAAGGGGAAAAATGACTCAGCATACAAATTGGTTCAGTCAGCAGGATGCAATCCCCCAGGCTTGGACAGCTCTCCGGTGAGAAAAGCACAGCAGGGCAGTTGGCATGGATGTGGAGGGAAGGCAGGCTTGGGATGGAGGTGGAGGAGAGGGATTTGGGATGCTGGGGTTCAACCCCATGGGTATGAGCTGTCAGTCCCTCAACAGTCATGAGGGCAAGAGTCACATCCTGGTGTGCACCGCAGATCTCTGCCACAAAGCACGGATCTACCAGCTGTGGAGAGGTGTGATGTCCTGAAAGGGGTCACAGAGGAAATGCCTACTGGGGCGCTTTGTTATCTCCTCAGGCACAATTCCTTCTGCCAACTGAGGGCTGTGCTGACCACATCGTGGAGCTGCCTCACTCCTCAGCTCAGCCCAGGGATGCCAGGCGCTGGGAGGGCCAGTGGGAGCCCGTGGGGCTGGGGGCACCCAGTAAGGGCTGCCTCAAGAGACCAGCCCCCGCTTCCCAGGGGACAGACGGGCAGAGCAGAGGAGCGCTCTGGCTTCACGTGTTGGCTGAACACAACTGCTGCTGAATTTTGGTGAACAGCTCACTCATTTCTGGAGAAGCCCACTGTAGAATTTCTGCAGAGTGCAGACCACAAGCTCCTGCTGTTGTGCAGTTTCTTTCTTTTCTAAATGGAGAATGAAGACCATTTTTGAAGAAGCAGGATTACACATGTCCTATCAAACGGAGGGATGGGGCTCAAAGCCTTCAGCTGTGATTCAGAACAACAGCCCTGACTGCAGCAACGTTAATGCCCTTCCCTCCTCTAATAAGCCAAGCACCCTGGAGCTGCGAGGGTTAAATCTGTTTTGTCTCCCAATGTATTCTAGAGAAGGGGAAAAAATACCCATCTCCCCATTCCTCGACGACAGACAGACAAACCCTCCCCGCCTCCAGCTCCCCCCTCAGCTTCTGGTAGCTCTAATTCAATATTATTATGTGAAAAATGGTTGGGCTAGCTATGGAGACAGTAAATTAAACGTTATGTATTAGTTTTTAGCGTGTGGTCCCAGGAAGAATGCCGGCCCCATTTATTCCACAAACCTCCTGAGCACCATGGCAATGACCTCTGGAAAAACGCAGGGCTAAACTAATCCCAAAGATGTCAATCTCAAGGCCTCTTCTACATACACGTGCAGTTTAGATTAATAAACTGTCTATTTTTAAATTGTGTGCAAGCACTTCAATTCTAAATACCTCGCCGGCATGTTAAACACAGCGTTAGAGATGCCAAGTCACACTTCCCCTTCACTCTTAGGAAACTTGACTTCATTTGTTTTTCTCATTTCCGTGAGCTGTGCCACACTTTGCCTCTCAGGCAGCCACGGGGGCAGGCAGGGATGCAGGCTCAGAGGCTAAGGGATTAGAAAAGGCACTCGCCATCAGGGTGACTGCCATCCCAATTTTGGCCTCTTTTACCCTGAATTGTCAAGTTGAGGCTGTTTTACAATGGCTAAGCAGCGAGGATGCCTGTCCACAGCAAGCCAATCTAAGGATTGGCTGTCCCCTTCACCCATTCTGCTCATTCCCACCCAGATTCAGGCAAGCAGGGAAAAGGCAGCAATTCCCATTCCTCTCTCGACCAGGTTCTGGGTAGATGGCTGTGGAGGAAAAACGTAGCTTTACATGTGGTCTCCCAGCCCTCAGGCATGCCCATGCTGCAGGGCAGACCCAAATTCTGGCATCCCACCTCAAAAACACGGCACTGGGTGCTCTGTGTGCAGCTCCTAACTTGGGGACCAGCCACTTCTTAAGGGTAGGAACAAGACTTGATGTTGAGATGTTCCTTTTTCTTTGGGGAAAGGCCACCAGCCAGCCTGACTGCCAGTACATCCCTGTTCCACTTCACAGCGTGCCTGAGTGAGGATAATGGGGTGAGAGCGCCCTCCTCTCAACCCGGTGTCCCCTCCACTGTCAAACCACAGCTCCCACCATCAAAGGCAGAGCAAGGGCCTCATGCGAGCAGCAGTGCAGCCTCATATTTCTCCCTCCTCTTTAAATCATCTCTCCATTGGGTAGAGGCACTCTCCGTGGAGGTTATAAACCCTGAGAGGATCAGCCTGAGCATTACACCTGGGGCAAGCTAAATAAAAAAAGGTCACCGGCGCTTTTTAAACATGGACAAAAAAGCAGTAAAATGTGTTTGGAAAAAAAAAATCTGGCATTAAATCATGACTTTTTGCCTGGCTTGCCTCATTAAAAGTGGCCTTTTGGAAGGTAAAATTATCATTGTAAGTGATAAGATCTTTAAGAAAATAATTCACGGCTTCTTCACCCTTTAATATGATAGCCGCCACCGGCTAATTTTTTTCTTAATGGCAACGAGGCCATCAATCTTGTCCAAGCCCTGTACTCTCTCCTTCCCCCTGCCCCTCCTGCCATGCTGGGCAGCCATGGCCGCGCTCAGCGATTCCTTCCCACCCCCTTGGAGCACAGCTGTGCCGTGCCATGGAGCAGAGATACCTCGGGGTGGGTGGTTTTCCCTGCTTGTGTCCACGGTTCCCGGCAGGAAGCAGATACCACACGAGCCTCGCTCACTCGGCAAGGCTCACACACCCTGGCCGCTCCCGGCGCACTCCGTGGACTGTGGCGATGGGATGCAGCATCAGGGAGCGTTTTGGCAGCTCACCACCATGAGGGACAGCGCTCAGCGTTATGTACATAAATAACGACAGGGGCAGGTTTGGTGTGAGCAGAACACTCATCGCCCAACCGGGTGTGCCGGCTGCTGCGATCCCCAGGCCACCGACCCCCAGGCCCGCTCCTCCCAGCCGGGGTGGAGGAGCCCTGGGCAGCTCCGAGGCAATGTCAGCGAGGACACACACACCCCTGGCTGCTGACACATGGGCGCTCCAGGCGTGGGCCGGGGGGCAGCACGAGGGGAGGGGATGGGTGTCAGGGTGCAGCCGCCAGCACGAGGAAATGGATGGAAATTGCCGGCACACGCCGCCCCCAGCCCTGAGCGCTGGCTCTGGCGGGCGGCCGGGGCAGGTGTCAGCGCTGGGAGAGCCCAGCCGGTGGCTCTGACATTCTGCTGCCTCTCAAGGCCAGTCATTTGAGAGTATTAAAGCGCTGGACTCCTGCTTTCTGATAGCCCTGGAAAAACACAAGGAGTCTATTTTTCTTAAACAATCCATCACGTCTGCTGTCAGCAGAACAAATACCCTAACCCTGCTTTTTATGTATCTATATGGCCTTTTAAAATTTTTTTTCTTCCTTTTTTTTTTTTTTTTTTTGGCACAAAGTGTTCCCTGCTTGATGCATTCAGCTTTAACTCTGCCGTCTAAATAGGTACTTATCACTTAACATGGAGGTGATGGCTTGACATGTTTTCTGTCTCCTGCCCTCCCCTCCACGGTAGGGAAGCCGTCAAAGTGTTGCTAATAGCTGTTATCACTTGGGAACTGTAACCCGAAAGCAATGAGTGATACCAGGCCTTGCTGCGATTTTCTCCCTTAACTCTGGTAGCCGTTTTTTTATGTTATTGCTGGAGGATCCACGACACAAAGATGCTGCTATTAGAGCTGAGTTTCCTAGAAGCTTTTGGAGGGTCCACATTTGCTACTGGGAAAGTTAGAGGTAAAATTATCTAGTGGCTTTTAGCTGGCAGAGATAAAGGTGGGATGGAGCCAGGGATGAAAGGCTTAAATGTGAGAAGGGTGTGAAAAGGGAACAGAAATAATAGTATCAGGAGCTTTTGGCCTTTGCTGAAAGATTCCAGTGGTTTGCAAGCAGAACAAGCTTTTAGAAATGTGAGCTACTAATTTATTTCTGTGCATGTTACAGTGACACCTGGGACTGTAACGGAGCTCTGGGTCCTCTTGGACGAGACACCAGCTACACAGTTCCAGCAGAACTGCCCATCAGCACTCCAGAGATGGAGGGGGAAAGGGGTCTGGCCAAAGTCTGTCGGGCTCTGCCAGCCTATTCTGCTCCCCTCTACAACCACATCCCTCTCTGCTTCTTCTGCCGAATGCAGTGGTTTCCCCCAGTCTAATGTAAGGGTACAGCTGTTTGGCCCAAGGGGAGTGAGGGGTTTTGTTTGTTCATGGGGTAATTTGCTTTATAGAATAAAACCTGGCAGAGATTTGTTTTTGGAGTGACTCCGGTATTCATCACCCCAAAACGGCAGGGAGCTTGGCCAGCCAACACCTATCCCACGTAATTTCCTCTCCTCTGTGTATCTATGGGCTGTTCTCCTGTCCCTGGCTTGGCCACAGGTTTGCCACAGTACCCAGATTTAGCGTTTTAATCTTTCCTTGTAAATCACAGTTACAGAAGGAGGAGACACAGATACGGTGAACGGCTTCTCCAACCTCTCCAGTGTGTCAGTGACACAAGAGAAGGAGTTAAAACCCTGGGGCCCTGACACCCATTTTCAGTTCCTACCACCAGATGTGATATGGAGAAGTTAAATGATTGTGCTAGAAATTTCATCTCGACTGAGGCAGCTGGGAAGGGCTTAATACAGACATTCTGTCAAGGTTTAAGGCTCCAAATCTTGCTTGCTTCGAAGCACTTTCTCCTTGGAGGACTTTAGTGGTCAAATTTCCCACTAGATGCTGTAATTCTCTCTCAAACTGCTCGGTGAAGCCGTAAAATCACGGGGCTGGGTGGGGGGAATCAAAGCACTCTGGCACTGTGGCTCGCTTCCCAGCTCCGCCGGAGGTCTGGGAGCGGTGTGCTGGCCACCTGCCTGCGGGCACCCTCCGTGGAGCTGGGTGCACACCTAAACAAACCAGCCACGAGCGTCTGCCGGGTGCATGAGATGGATTTCGTTCGTGGCCGCTCACGACACTGTGTGTTTTCCTCAAAATCCGGAGCACGGGCTGGAGTGTTAGTGGGAAAGGCAATTCGCAGCCATGTATTGGGAAGCATGAGTGTTAAACCCGCCACGGGAGTGGGGATGCTTCGTGGAGCCCGGTCTCTTCCCTTTCAGTGGTCAGTACCAGCACTTCCACAGGGGATGTAAGTTTACCTGTTAGGTGACAGGTAACAGTCTGCAGTTAACACTCTGAAATTTAGGGACCGAGATCTTTCTGGGCAGTGATGATACCTCACCTAGATAACAGCCCCTGGAGGCAGAGCCACAGGCCACACGGGCAGTGGGAAGGAAGTCCTCCCAGGTAGCCAGGAGGACCTGGGGATGCTGTCTCTTCAGAACTACCACCAGCTGGACTAACACCTCAACAGAATGGGTGCAACACAATGTGTGCTCCTCTCCTGCGCAACACCTTGCAAGAGGCAGCCAAGGCAAGAGGGGAAAGGCAAGGGGAGAGTGTGAATTCCAGGAATGATGCCCAGGGGAACTTCACGCTGCTGACAGCTACAGACACACCCCTGGGCAACCAGTCTGAACAGAGCCTGCAGTGTTGACCATGTGCCTCTGGAACACATCCCTGTCGCCTGCTTTGCCTGAGACCCAGCATCTGGCCATGCTGAGGAGTGGTGCAGGGAAGCTCTGGGCTCACAGAGGTCTGGGGCATAACTGGCTCGGACAAACCTTCAGGAAGTGTCCTCCTGAGTGACAGTCTGCTTGTCCAAGTGTCTTGTCCACACTGGCATATCACCATCAACTGGGCTTGGTCTCTAATAACAAATGAGGATCCTGAGTGCTGCAGGACTGTGGTGCTCAGCGCTGCCCCCAGAGCTGCCTTTGCTGAGAGGGAGCCCGGGCACCAAGCAGATGTGCTGGCTGGAGCCCCCAGCTCACAGCCCTCGCTTGACCGTCACTGCCTCAGTCGGCTCCGATAATAGAAGAATCTGATACAATAATCCTGCATTCATCACATCCCATGTTGAGTGATTGGATTTTCTTTGACATATTGCCATGAAAATTGACCCAGTGCAGTGAGTGACAGCTCTTCAGGGGCAGGGGAGCAGTGAGCGAGGGACATGCATTTACATCTGGGCTTTTGCTGCCAGGAGAGGCGTTTGCTGGGGCAACCGTGGGGAAGAGGTGGGAGCCAAGCCAGGAGACAGAGCATGGGGAGGTTAAATCCTCTGCCCCAGCTGCACCCCAGGAAGATCCTCGGGCCAGCACTAGTGATGGTAGTGGTGCTGTAAGCAAAGGTCCTACATGAGCCCTAAAGCGGACTCAAAGCCACTTGTGACCCCAAAAGTAGTTGCCAGCCTGCACCCTATCCCAGTTCCCATGTCCCTGAGTGAAACCAGCCTGCCTCCATTCATTTTGCCAGGGGATGCTCCTGAGGGATAGGAAGGTGCAGCCCCTTCTCCCATTGCTGAGCTGCTGGAGCTGCTGCCCCTTTTGTTGGCATCAGGAGAAGGAATGGCTGGGAAACGTTGCAGCAGTCCCCATGGTCCTCTCAACCCCTTCTACCAGTGTCCAGGGTGGGAAGTGGGACATGGTGAAGGTCCCAGCTCTTCCCAGGTGGTGCCTGCCAGACCTCCAGTAATGCCTGGGTGCCTGGAAATGGTCTGCAAGCCCACCCTGGGGGTCTGTCCCCCCTCCCACTGCCTGGGACCCCTGTTAAGGGTGGCCCAGAGGCCCAGCTTTGTCCCCATCAGGACCTTCTCAGAAGGACTTCACATCTCGATGGGCTACTTGCATCCCACGTTGTAAACATAAAGCGGGCACAAAGGGAAAGAGCAGGCTTCATCTCCCAATCACCCTCCTCCTCAATCCCACCTGGGTACAAAGGAGTCTTTAATACCAAACTCAGGTGAAGGTGACAGCACTGTGTCTTCCCATGCCACACAGGACTTGTCTCCCAGCAAAAGCCACCTAGAAATAATGAATCCTCCTGGGCCGAGAGGCTTTCAAGCTCTCTGAGAAGGGAATGAAAGATTTCCTGATTTCACCCTCTCCCTCCCTGCTTTCCTGGCTTCTTGAAGTTAATGTTCTTAGCCCCAGACGTGACGGGCAAAGGGAAAAGATCCACGTGGTGACAGGGGACGATTGATCTCTTTTACATAGAACGACGCTCCAGTCCCAGTTTAATCCCCCCGCTCAAGGCAAATGGGATTCTTTGTCAATGGAAACTTCAAAAGCCTGGCCCTGCCGCGAGATGGACCTTCTTCTTTATCTGGTCTCTGTCAGTCACTCACTGTGTTTGCCTCCAAACAGCTAATCTGTCTTCCTAGCTGTCCTTCTCCCTCACAGGCGATGTGTTTGGGACTGTTGAGTTATCTACACTGAGACCTGACGAGGAGGGAAAGGGAAGATTGCAGAGCCCAACTGCTTTCATTTTGCTGGTGCCCTTTCCAGCTCCTTCAAGACATGCCAAGGCAGCCTCACACTCAGTGGATTATCAGCGGTGGGTGGGTTTGGGGATTGCTTTCTGCTCTGCTTCATGGGAGAAACAGTCAGGTCTCCACTCTCCTACTAGTTTACCTGTGATGGGGCATGGGAGACAAGTATAGTCACACAGTAGGCAAAGGCGTGGAGCACTATGGAGTATCACTGTGATTTCTGTTTCCCCTTGGATGGTTTGGGAAACTGTTGGGGTTATTTGGGATCCATCCCTACCTTCCAGAAATGCGGGTCAGCACAGTGGCTCCCCCTGGGTAGGGCAGAAAAGGTGTTGATGTGCTTGGCAACACACCCAGCCCTAAGGGGAAAACCTAGAGCTGAAAAGTCAGTCTTCGTTTCTGACATCACATGCCAAAATATGACCATAAGCTTCCAGAAAAAAACAAGGGAGAATGAGACCTGAAGTTGATTCTAGCAAAACAAGCATGAAGACACATCCCATTAGAGATGCCCTGCACTTGTCTGGAAGCCAGGATTCTCCCACACTTGGACTGTGCCACCAGAAGCATAGGAGAACCTGAACCACTTGCCTTTGCCCACCTTGGGGAGCACAGCACAGTTTTCGGATGCTGTGCAATGCCCAGCTGCCCCTGCAGTGCTTCCCTGCTGCCCACTTGCCTGCCTAAGCTCCAGCCCTTCCCACTGCTGTGTCACATGAAGTCCAGCTAACAGCAACACCAACCAGTAAAAAGTGCTCTGTACACCTCACATTTCTGCATTCTGAGCCAAGGGGATGGGAGGTGGGTCCTGGGGAGGGGGATGTGGCTGAGACGGGGTCTTTTAGTGATTTGGGCTCCTCCTCGGGTGTGCTCCTCTCCTCTGAGGCAGGCCCAGTCCCCTCTTCCAAAGCTGGCATATGGCTCTGGCTCCCGGAACTCCCATACGTGATTTCCCAGGCTGAGCTCAGCCTGTGTGTGATCAGCTTTCATTAGCCGTCATTAGACACAATCTGGAGTCCCAGAGCCCACCGGGTCCTTCAGCTCCACCATCCCTTGGCTGCAGGGGAGGAGGATCGCAGAGCCCTGTGCAGGGACTTGGCTGCTGCAGCCCAGCGGCTGAATGGGGACAGCAGCTTTCCCCACTGCTGGCCGGCCCCAAAGCGTGGCCACCTTCCTGGGAGACACTGAGTAGCAGGACACGAAGCAGGCTGGGAAGGTGAGGGGGTGTAAAGAGCATTCCCTGGGGGGAAGAATGCAGAGTTGTGCTCACTTACCTTGGGGGTGCCCGCTGCCATGGCATCCTTCAGGATGGAGCTCTTGCTGCCAAGAAAGAAGAGAACGGGGTCAGAATCACAAAACTGGTGGGCAAGGAGGGGAGTGCCTTGAGGGATCTCACAAGGTCAAATAGTAAAGCACATGGTTCCTCTTCACTGGACTAGGGAGAGCCTCCTCATCCTGACTGGAGTGGCATGGGAAGGTGGGCAGTGCCTCCAGATGGAATTAAACGGCCCTATGAGTGGAACTCCCCAAATCCAGCCACAGGGGTTAAACACTGACCCTTCCCCTCCTTGGGGTTTGCACAGCTCCTCTCTCAGCCCTGGGGAAAAGCAGGGAGCAAGTCTGCAGGGACACAGGGAGGAAAGCCAGGGAGTGGGGAGTGGAGGTGGCAAGCCCTGTGTAGGGTCAGGAACAATGGAAAAAAGGAGGGAAGGAAAGAGATGAGAATTAAATCAGCACAAGAGCAAAGGAAAGAAGATCCCCTCAGCTTCAGTTGCACTGGGGAAGCAGCAGCTCTGCTGGAGGCTGGAGTGATTTGTTAATTCAGCTTGTTCCCCATTTAGCAGGGAAGGAGGTCCCCGCCACAGTGCTCCTCCTCGCCTGCCCTCGCCAGCGGGAGATGCTATAGATTTAATAACACCTTCCCCCCTCCAGACAGGTTAAACTTGAAACAATTACATATCAAAGCCGACATGGCGGGGAGGCCTGCACTGTAATTTTTTGGTTATTAAAGTAATCTCTCTCATGTAAATTCTCCTGCTAACATGCTGCAAACAGCATTAGGAAATAAATTATTTCCCCATGATTCGATTTGTCAATGCAAAGCACCTGCAGCAGGCAAAAGGCTCTTGAAATATGTTGCCAAGCCCAGTGCCTGTGCCTGTAAGCACACGCCGGTGGGGTGGCTGGCTCCCAGCTCCCCACAGCCCCAGGGAGATGATGGATGGGTGGGTGGGTGGAGGGGGAGGTTAGCGGGGGGGGGGGGGGGGGGGGGGGGGGGGGGGGGGGGGGGGGGGGGGGGGGGGGGGGGGGGGGGGGGGGGGGGGGGGGGGGGGGCGGAGGTTGGGGAAGGTGGGGGGGAGGATGGAATTGTGTTTAATAACAAAATTTGTATGCAAGCCTGCATCCCAGGCTAAGGATGAGTGATCGGCAGCCAGAAAGTATTAAAAAGCCTCGCTAAACAGATGCTGACAATAGAACAAGACATATCAAATCAGATCTACTTCAGAAGCATTAATATACACACGCACACACACGCTCGCCCGCGCGCGCGCGCCCGGCTCCGCACACCCGCGCTCCTTTCTTCTCAATCACAGCAATATGGGAGGCATCAATAAATTTTTATGAGACTTTTAGAAGATCAACACGGTACTAGATGTGACAAAAAAGCAATGTGCCTGTCATGTTCGCTTTGTCGGGGACACTTTAGCCCCAGATGCCGAGCTGCAGTGCCAGCAGGGAGAAATTGAATTTGGCTGGCTTTAATCTGCCTTGATTTGGCAGATGGCTGGGTGTTATGAAATGAGCAGGGATGGAGGAAGGTGTTTTCTCCTGGGGCTATGGCCCCCCTCCTCTCCCATTGCCACTGCCTTTCGCCCCCAGCCCTGAAGCGGTGGAAATACACAGTTATCCATTGCCATCAGGTCACCCCAAATGCCACAGCTCCACTCCCAGCTCCAGTTCCTGGAGACCACCAATGGATGGGCTGGGGCACCATCTCCCACACAGCCATCATCCCTGAGGGGATATGCTGCTGGATGCTCACTGGAGGGTACAGGATGCCCCCTGTGGGGTACAGGATGCCCCCTGTGGCCTGTCCCCCCGCTCTGCCCCCTGCTCTCAGGAGGCAGCTCAGAGCAGGATTGAGTCTCTGCTGCCCGCTGAGATGCAGACCTTGCACCGCCTCCAGCCCGTGCAAGAACAAGCACGATGGGAAAGATTTCCAACCCCTCTACATCTCCACCACTACCTTGAACTTCTCCATCTCACAAAGTGTGAAACAACTTTTATAATCCAAATGCCATGTTAAAAAACCAAACTCATTTCCTCCCTTTTCCTGTTAAAGGTGTTTAAAATTATTTCTTTTCAAGGGGAAGGGGAAGAATATCATTAAGTCCTCCTAAAAATGGCATTACCGCCAGGAAACTGCAGTTTTCAGAGTGAGAGTCTCTCTGGTCAGCCAAAAGACCAAGCCTCTGCGTGGGAACGATAAGGAAAGGGACCAGTTTAGATAACTTGGCAGACTTTATTTTATTCTTCATCTGGAGGATTATTAATACCCGACCCCCCTCTTGCAGTGTAGCTCTACTCTATTGCTAGAGTCTGCAACTTGTTTTTATTTATTTCCAGAGATGGGTTGAGGAATGGGTACAACCCCTGGTCATCCAAGCACCCAGATCCTGCAATTTAATGGTGCTTGTCTCCATCCTGTCAAACAGCCCCCAAATGACAAGGGCTGCAGCCCCCCACGCCTCTTAAGGATGCTGGCAAGCAGGCTGACGATCGAAAGGCCGTCAGCAAAGAGAAACCTTCCCCTCCATAAACACGGCAGACAAATTAAAAATGGTAAAAGGGAAATCAAGACCTTTAAAGTTCAAACACTTTTCGGTGCCTTTTAAAGTTTTTTCGCTCTAGGCCCTTGCAGACAGCGCAATCTTTGGAGACCTTGGGATTCTCTTTAATCACCCAGCCAGGCTGCAGTGGTCTGAAATGATTACACATTTACATAGTAATAACCCCAACACTCCTCACATTATTTCATGGCTAGCATATTTCCACTCGGCGAGTGATCCATGTGTTTTAAATTATAACCTGTACATAGGAAATTAGTTACTAAGTACGATATTCACGGGCTCGTCTGACACTTCTAATTAAGGTGATTTACACAGAATTATCTTATGAAATAAAAAAATGGTGTTTTGCTAGCTAATAAAATATAATTACTACCCGCTTTTCTAAGTTACAGTTAGTTTTAATCTATTTGGGGAATTGTTTATCTAGTTCATTACAGCCAAACAACTTCTTTCCCTTTTAGGCAACCCCCCTAAAGTACCAAAGAGGAGTAAGAAATGCCCTGGGAAGACCCAGCAATCTCCTTCTCTCTCTCCTAAAGACTTTGCATTTCCAAGTGATACAAGAGGGCTGCAGCTGCATCACCCTTTAACAGGAGCAGCACAGCCAGGTCCCCATGTGCCCCAGGGTGCTCGCTGGCGACCCATCACTCCTCTATATATTAGGGTCCATCACCTTTAAGAGGAGCATTTACTCTCAGCAAGAGATCCTGCAAAACCAAAAGATTTCTACAGGTTGCAGCCAATAGATATATTTCTTAAAAAACAAAACAAAACAAACACAGTGGAAACTATTTATTTTTAGCTGCAGGACTTGTGGGTTGAACATGCAGCCTTGGGATGGGAGCCCTGGCAGCAGAGCAAGCCTCCAGCATAGCTGTGTGGATGGCAAGGCCAGCTGTAGGGAAGCAGTTGTTAGGTAGAGAGGGAACTGGATTTTTGTGAACACCAGTTTAAATAAGAGGAAGTGTCTTCTGAAGCCTAAATAAGGAAATTGGACTTTGATTTTTTTTTTTTTTTTTTAAAGCTGCAGGTGACAACCCCCAGAATGGCCAGGTGAGATCTGTGCCTGGGAAACTGGATTTTGAACCTGCTGTGGTTCCTCCAGCAGCACTTGCATCCCATGATGGGGAAAGGGGTGAAGTGATGGTAAAAAATTACCAGAGAGGTTGCAGTCAGGACTAGAAACACTCTGCACCTACAGTGCCAGACACGCTTCCCAAATGCTTCCCCACTTAGTATTTGAGAGACCTCGGTGTTCAACATGGTCAGTTGTGACAAATCTGACACCACAGGGCAGTCACCCACTTCCCCACAAAACATGAAGCTGAAGGAGAAATGCAGCAGAATCATAAAACACTGTGGCATGACCTGACCATGCTGAAATCCTCTATTTGCTTTGTCCTATTTGCATCCCTGACTCTTCCTGCCCTGCTGGGTTTTCCTTGATCAATCTCTGGTGCCCCATGTCCCTGCTCAGAGTGGGTAACAGGTTTCTGGGTGAGGATGTGATGGTCCACGTGTGTCGGGCCAAACAGGAAAGTGGGGTGGGGGCGTTGTTTTATTTCTCTCCCACTGTTTGAAAAGGAGGTGGCTGGAAAAATAAAAAAAAAAAATCAGAGGGAAAGGTCATGCATTAGATTGAGCTGGGGGGCTCATTGCTACCATGGCTATAATGACTGTTTAATTATTCCCAGCTCATGTGGCAGTTCAGAAGAGGCTCTGCAGAAGACATGCATCGCTTCAGGGCAAATAACTGACTGGAGATTTATTTCTCACCCTTGGGTTTCCACACATCCCTTCCCAGGACTCCTGCTGCCCTGAGAGTCAGTAGCAGAGGAAAGCTCTGCCCTCCAAAGTCCCAAACCCCGGACTGCAAACCCCTGCCCTGGAGTCAGGGAATGGGGCTGCAGGTACCACGGGTCTGAAGGCAGTTCAAGGAGAGTTCATAGCACTTTTAGGGCCCTGCATGAGAGAGGGAAAACATGATCCACACACTTCCTCACACACTGTGCTACCTTGGAAACTCTGACCCAGGAGAAGTGCTTCTCACCCACAGGTTATAGACAGCAAGCAACCTCTGTCTTCCCTGGGGTCTGCCATGGCAGGAGACGAATGGGGCATCTCCTAAGCAGGGCAGGCAGCTGCCTGGCTTGTGCTCTCTCTGCTGGAGAAGCCATGGATGAAGGGTCCAGGCTGCTGTCCTTGCCACCCTCTGAGTGCACGGGAGGAAGCTGGAGGGTCTTTCTTCCTTTTCTGTCCATGATTAATCTGCCACACTGAGGGGCAGGGACACAAATCAGAGAGGGGATGAAAGAAGATAAATCCACGGTATCAGCAGCACCACATTGGCTAGATAATAAACAGACTCCTCTCCCCATAAATTTCTCTCCATTCCCCCATGTTTCCCTGCCATTGACACTGGCAGGCTTGGAGCTGGACTGATCCTGGCCTTTCTGGCATCTTGACGGG